CCGTCGGTAAATAGCCAAAAAACACATTTTGCTCTCCAAGTTTTCCAAATTCTGTGATTGTCTAAACATTTTTTTAAAATATTTTAAAAACTTGAAGACTTTAAGTATCTTGCAATGGCTTTTAATGTTATAAAAATGTATTTTGCAATGATGAGATGGATTACATTTTGCGAAAAGAAATCGCTATCTCTGGCTCTTCCATCATACCATCATTCTGCAAAAGGCCATTTGGCACACATGATTGAGAGATTGCGTTTTACATCACTTATTAGTTAGTTTTAAGAAAAATTGTATATATTGCAAGTGATGCAGAAAAGATGGAAAATGATTACGGTATTCTACGCGCTGATGATGCACTCAGGCGCGTGCAATGATCATTTGGCATTAAGGATTGAAGGTAAACCTTTTTCCACCTTTTCTGCATTACTGGCAATATACATATAATTTTTCGTCTCATGCCCATATAATGCCTCTGAAATAAGCCAGAAATTGTGGTTCCTCATTGCAAATTTGGTCCAAACGGTAAAATCTCATCAACGGCGCCATAACTTATTCCCATGATCGTCTCAATGTCGTTTTAAGGTGTTTACATTTCTTCCCAGCTTTAAAAGAACGTCTCGGAATCATTTAACTGTTTTCAGAAATATTCAGGAAACTTCTTTTGAGCGTCATTGCTGTCTAATACTGCCGTGCCAAGGAAAAACGCCGTATGAACATCCGGCAGTTGCCAAACTTCCATCGATAAAATATTCATTTTTGAGGAAATTTATGAATATTTTTCCTCAAAATTTTCAGGAAATTTAGATGAAATTGCGAACAAAATTATCTGAAAAATTGGAAGGAAAATATTTATGTGTTTACCGAGAAATTCGTGTTTTATCAAAGGAAATTTGGCAACGCCTGAAGGCTCATAAGGCGTTTTTCCTTAGCACGGCAGAATAGTTCACTGCGTGCCATAGTGTTCAAAGTGGCGCGTAGGAAGTCATAATTGGTAAATAACAGCTTTCTTGTATGCAAAGAAAAAAAATTAAAAATGTTAAAAAAGAGATGTCGACACAAAATTACATAGCCCCTTCAATTCTGAAGATACTACAAACGAACTGTACCTTAAAATTTTCATATCCCAGAAGCAAAAGTTCCCATGACGAATATTGCTATCGCTAGCGATTGCAAAAACCAACTTGTTTATTTATTTATTTTCATTTAATTTTCTGGTTTGTCTTTGAATTGGTCCTAATTTTTGCTGTGAAGTAATAAATGTAACAAATCATTTCAAAAATGGTATGTTTATTTTTTAAACTTTAAATTAATTTTATTTTTAAACCTTCATCTAAACTTCTTTTTAAGTTTTTACCTTTGTTTTTAAACAAAGTTTTAAGTATAGGTTTTTTTATCTTTCAAATACTTTACTCTGTTTTCCTTTTAATTGTTGCTTCTTCTTCTTAAATTTCTGTCCCGCTTTTTTTACAATTTTTCTTTCAACTCTTCTCTTTTTCGTTCCTCCTTTTTTCTTTTCTTCTTTTTTTCCCTTTTCTTATTCATTTTCTGCTCCCTCTTTTTCTTGTTCATTTTCTGCTCCCTCTTTTTCTTCTTCATTTTCTGCTCCCTCTTTATCTGCATCCAATTCTTCCGCTTTTTCTTCTTCTTCTTCTTCTTGTTCCTGTTCTTTCTTCCTTCCGTTTTCCGTATTTTCGGTTTCAGAATTTTTTTCTTTTCCCAGCTTCTTTATCTTACCGTTCCACATGAATGTTATGAGAAAGAAAAATTGGAGGTTATTGACTTGACGAGGAAAAATTGGAAATAGGAAAAAGATGGAGCCAACCACGATTTGGGGGTAAAATTTGAAAAGAAAAATTGGAGGGAGAACGATTGTGCATTGATTAATTAAGACTACTCAGAGGAATGGGAGGCGAGGGTTATATATGACAAGGATTTAACGAGAGCTGAGGGGAGCAAACCGCGGATTTCCAAGAAAAATGGACAGGAATGTAAATTAGCCCGCGAGCATTGTTGCCAGCAATGGCGTGGCGTGCTTTGCGATATATCGATTGATCTGCCATTTAAACCTATGGAAAAGGATCGATTAACAAGGTGTTCGCAACGAACACCTTAATAATAGATTCTTTATCGTAGCTTCAAATGGGGAAATATCAATAATCGATCCTTCACGCCACGCCACTAGTTGCCAGCGGCATTTTGCTGAAGCAGTAAACGAGACCGCATATGAGATTAGGAAACAGCCAAAGACTATATTCATAGTCGTTCCTTAAATGGAGAATTTGCATGCACGTGCTTTATTGCTTCGTCATCTGAAAGGGCTTAAAGCGCTGATTTCACAGTATTTTTTATGGGTTTTTTCTGATATGGGATATAGTGTGAAAGTAGATTATGTAGATGGTATACGCGCAATGTGTGAAGTATTCATGCGGTCTCGTAGGCGCTTATTTGCGTCTCTCTTCAACTGGACGGTCTTTGGCGCAATGCGTGAAGTGTTCCTGCGGTATTGTAGGCGTACTTTGTTTAGTGGTCCATTTCACAAATTCACGATAGGATCGGGGAAGTTCGGGATCAATGGAAAATTTGTAAGCACATTTTTTATTGCTTCGTATGAAAGTGTTTAAAGAGCTATTTCACAGTATTTTTTTTATTAATAGATTTAAAAGCGAGAAAATGCACCGCCTAGTGACGTCATTAGGAGGAATTTTACATTTCAACACATGTATTTTAGCAGATTAGATCATTTTATCAAATCTTCTCCAATAATTGTTCAATTCATGAACCAATGGTATCCTCGTGTTCAGCTCACTCAGCAGTTCCCACTTAAACACGAAATTTATCAAATTTCAGACGCCTGCAAATTCTCTATTCCTCCTTTCCTTACAAGGCCTCATGGTTTACATAACGATTACGTGAGGGTGAGGTCGTTGGAGATCTTTGACATGGCATCAGCAAATGAACTCTTCTTCCTAACTTCGAGTTTGTAGCAGCTTAACTTAGAAAATTCACAATAAGAGAAAGTAGGCGAGTTCTTTTCTCATCGGTTCTCATCTTTTTCCGTGAACTTCCAAACGCGCCTACATCTGTAGAAAATGTTGTTATGTTAATGCCGTCAAAGCAAAAATTAATACGTTTCATATTAGCTGGGTTCTTTTTAGATTTTTTCATAACCTCTGGTGCGCCATCCATTTATAAAAATTTTATTTTTCACTTTGAATACAGACTGACAGCTGCGCGCTTCTCAAACGTATAGAACTTTCCCGTTTGTTTTCAGTATGAGGTGGCAACTGCGATAAAAAATCCAACAAGATAGGCTCCAATTACGTAATTAAATCTACGGGCTCACCACGTTGTATATCCGGGTAAACCCCGTCTCGTTAACCAGAGAGGTAATTTTCGCGCTTTTTAAAAATCTTAACATCGTCAAATTACAAGTCTATAGAGTTAGTATCGCTTCCTCCAACGTATCAACTATGGTTGAATTAAATTGTATTAGATATATGTAGTAACATACACTGATAATAATATTCGTGTTCTTGTATTACGTTTGGCTAGCGTAGGAAGTGTAACACAAATCAACCCGCACTCTGCGTTGATTTTAGTACAGTTTGTGGTTAATTTAGCGCAGACGAAAACAGTAGAAAGACTCGAAATCCCCAGAGTTATAACCGAAGGCTTGGGTTATATTGTGTTATACCTCCCGTATCATCCAAACTTTTGTTTGATTTATCTTTGTATAGAAAATTCTTGAAATTGGTCCGCACCGAATCTTTGTCCGTGCTTAATTCTCGATTTTGTTTGATCTCTCAAAAATCTCCGCTCCTCTGCTGATGTAATAGTTTTTTTTTTTTTTTTTTTTTTTTTTTTTTTTTTTTTTTTTACAAGCTTACACAGAAGCAAGTCAGATTTTTTATACCTAGGTAACATTAAGTCGATACAACGAAGTTTGCAGTGGCGATTCTTGAAAGTTGGTAACACTATGTTCTCTCAATTTAATTCCTACTTATTTAACTGTAATGCCAATAGAAGGAGGAAACTCAGCGATCCTTAGACTAGGAACTAATACCATTAACATTTTAAGCAACTTTATCTGACTGAGCTTTATGTTGTCTGGTACGGTCATGTCAAGAGGATGACGGAAGAGAGGCTGCCAAAAAAGATGCTCGATTGGGTTCCTCCCGGGAGGAGACGAAGGGGACGCCCAGTGAGAGGGTGGCGACAGGGGGTATTAAATGAAATGAGGGAGTGTCAACTCCCTGATGACCTGTGGAAAAACCGAGTTTTGTAGCGATTAGGCGTTGCGCAGCGCCAAAGAGCGCTATAAAAGCGACTCATGTATGTATCTGGCTGAGTTTAAATTGATTAATGTAAAAAACACTGTATCAAATCATCAAAGTATACATATCGCCGGTGAAAGTCGGCAATCACATAACTCGTTTGCGGTGTCTGAAAATCTCCGCCTCTACGTCATTGTCTTAAAGGAGAACAAATTGACATTATTGCTTGAAGTTTTTGCAGAATTTTCTTCGCATTGAGAAGAAAAGTCATGACAGTTTGAAAGAATTGCCGTTGAGTAGTTTTGCCATTTAAAAAATAAAGTATGACAGGAAGTCTACAACGTCGCAAACCGAGTTATGTGATTGCCGACTTGCACCGTCGATATGTAACTCATAAAATAAAAGTAGAATACATTTAATCTAATTCTTAATCGGTAAATAACCTTGGCTACAATGACAATAAATCATCATTTTTCCATTCAACCTAACTTTATTCAAATAGTCGATTTAAAAGATATAAACAAAAGAAAAAGTAAATAAGTTAAAACATTTTAAATTTTGAAAAATCTTTTCAATAAAAATTGAAATCTCTGCAGTATGTGACACTATCGATTCTTGGTTAAGCAGTTTGTTTAACCGGGAAACGATTTATGTTAATAGATTTGAAAAGAGGAGAAACAGCGCTGCCAACTTTCAAAATCTCCACTGAAAGGTTGTTGTACTTACCTGAGCTTTGACAGGTTATGTTGGGGGATCCGTCGAGTCGGAAGCCGAGCGGACAATAGAATGTGGCCGTCTGCCCCAGTTTTTGCCCCTCGATTCTGGCTCGCACATACGCGTCTGGGAAGACTAATGCTGTACACTGTACATCTGTAAACATTTAATCAGTAAGATACACAAAATCAAAACACAACCCGAATACCATGCGGTATGGGATGGTAGACTAGTGTTTCAATGGTTAAAGTCAAAAAATGACTAGCTCAGATTGCAACAGTTTAAACCTCCACTCACGTTTTATTGTTTTTAAGAAAACCCGATCGCAATGGAAGGGCTCGGAAGACGAAGGCACATAAATGCATTTTTTCCTATTTCGAGAAATACGTGTTTGAAATATCGAAACTACGTGGATTCCTTTGGCAGAGAGAAAGTTCAAACTGACTTTTTGATGATTAAAAATTGGAATTTGGGAGCGAATTTTTCACAGAATATGCATTAAGACTAGATTCACTTGAAACCATAAATATCTAATTATTTTTAAAAAATGCATTTATACGCCTTGTCCTCCCATTGTAATTTTTTGTGAGTAATGTTCACTCATTCTAAAGAAAGAAAAATAAACAAAGAAACATCATTATGGTAATTTTTAGCATGATAGTGAGGTCAAAAGTTCGAAGAAAATAATCCACAGCAACAAATACTTCCTCAGAAATTTTGGCCTCCAGTATCTTTGATGCGACTTACCTGAGACTCTTAGAATAATACTATTTGTAAGGCCATGCGGTGTAGAGCAGGTGTAAACACCAGCATCTTGATTCTTAACGTAGTGTATGGAGAGTCTGTACTTCGAGTCCTTTTCCTCTTCTGCAACAGCCCACCCTGCATTCGAATGGAATATACGAAAAAAAACCTCATTTTAGCTGAGAGTATCACAAAGATAGGAAGGAGCACGTAAGATAGGATTTAATTGAGAACGAACTTAGACCAGCAAAGCATATGCCCTATTTTTTGGGGAAAAAAATTGCTCAGCTTTTAAATGTACCCTGATCGAGGGTGTACTCTGTCGTGCTAAGGGAGAACGCCGTATAAACATTCGAGAGTTGCCAAATTTCCTCCAATAAAATGTTTATTCTTTAGGAGGGTTATGAATACTTTCTCTTGAATTTTTCAGATAATTTAGATCTGATTGTGAATAAAATACTCAGAGAAAGCGAAAGAAAAATATACATAGAATCTCCTGAAAAATAATATTTCATCCAAGGAAATTTGGCAACGTCTGAAGGCTCATACGGCGTTCTTCCTTAGTACGGAAGTGCTAGGTGCCGGACTTCTCCTACTTTGCCCGGGAGGCCTCAAAAATAGCCACATTTTCGACAAATTCGCTTCAATTCAATATAATGATTATAGTTCTTAGCATGTTCGAAAGGCAAGCAGGTGACTTTGCGCTCATGGTCAAATTGCAAAAAATGTACCGAAGAATTATAAAATTGTTGATACCATTTTAGCAGAAAGAGATCCAATGCAAGATGGACTTATATAAGTGCATCTCAAACTAAACTCCGATGTCACCTAAAAGTAGCCGTGTAGGGATTTCTTCTGAGAACTTGAAACATTTTACGGCTCAAAGGAAACATTTTGTGCGTACGTGTCTTTTTCTATAATTTTGTCAGAGGATCCACCCGGAAATGACGATGAAAAACATTTATTAGACGTGCGCTTTCCCTGGTCCCAGAGCTTGTTATAAGATCAGCTCATTTCTTTCTCCCGAGGAGATTTTAAACAATATTTACTCTCGACATTCGCAAGAGTCTCCTTACAGCCGCTGGCGATCAGAGAGTCTGCCACGCCATCCGACTTTTGACATAAGGGCGCATCTCAATTCTTACGTCAGCCATGTTTTACGTTTGAATCTACGCTTTCCATGGCTCATACGGAAACCGAGATACGCGCTTACGTCAGAGGGGCGACGATTTTAGCAGCTTAGAATCCACGAGCTTTCCTTTTTGCGTTATCCTCCGTGTTTTCAGATGGAATACAACGAACGAGTTAAGGTTAAGGGATACCAACAAAATGCACCTCACTCCTATCCCGAGTAGCAGTGATCGCGATGAATAGCAATTTTATCGGTAATTGGTCAGCGCGATTAAATCGGTGGCAATACAGGGTGTCCCAGGATTAAGTACGAATATTGAGGGAGTCGATTCTTTGGGCCAAAAGAAGACATTTTTGTGGTGTAACTTTTCTTCGAAAAACGATTTCCGCGGGGGCCCCATTATCCCCCCATTATCCCCCTATTATCAGCTCCTATTATTCCCTATTAGTTCCTATTATCTCAAAAATGATGAGTTATAGCGTAAAAACGCAGGAGGCATTTGCTCAATACTTTTCAACGTTGAATCTTGTGGTGCCGTCAAAAATCAATTTTTGTCGCTAGAAACATTAATTTTGGCCACTTTTAGGTTCGGTACCCCCCCCCCCCCCCCCCCCACCCCCACCTCCTCGTAATAAGTTTTACGTGTTTTGGAGGTCACGTGCTTTCGTCGTTAATATTAAATATTTCCTTACATTTTAGGTATTAATTTTTTTAAAGGAATTGTTTGTAAGAGGTATAAAAGTTATCTTCTAGCTTACAATTTTGAATTTTCATACGGTTCCAACCAATTCCGGATTCTGGTATTATTATTAAAACTTGGCAAATCCACGCGTAAAAAATTCGCGAGGGCTCCTCGTGGTCGCGAGGCGTGAATGATCGATTATCGATTTTTCCCCGTTTGCAGCTGTGGTAAAGTATCGATTTTTGAGGTGTTCGTAGCGAACACCCTGTTTATCGATTCTTTTCCGTATGCTGGAACGGTAGATCAATCGATACATCGCAAAGCACCCCCACGCCACTGGCTCCTCGGGCATGGAGGCGCACTTAATCCTCTTACGGAGCCCTTGTGAGGGATGAGAGGTCTTAGTTTCGGACAAGGAGCATTATTCGATTATTTGCTCCGAACTACCATCATAAGCAGCTTGATATAGACGAAGTGCATCTTCGATCCTGTAAGTAACAATAGTGGTATGGCAAGACGGAATAAAACTTGCGGTAGGTTTTTGAGTTTTTCGTTGCCATTCTTTCGACCCCTTCCCCCCATTTATGCTCTTAGCCAGCAGGCTGATTATTGAACTCGATAGACAAAGCGTTAGACAAGGAAGACAGAATCAAACCTTGCGGTAGGTTTTTAAGTTTTTTGGCGCCATTGACCGCTACAGACAAGGCACGAAGTCAAGCATTCTAAAGACATGTTTCTCAACCAAAACTTAACGTAGAATACGATTTGCGCAACGAAAAGTATTGAAAATGACTATACTGCCGTGCTAATGAAGAACGCCGTATGAAACTTTGGGCGTTGCCAAAATTCCTCCAATAAAACACGAATTTAAGGGGAAAATTGTGAATATATGTTTTTCCAATTTTTCGGACTGTTTTGTCACAATTTAATCGAAAATACCTGGAAATTCCACAGATAAATATGCATAACTTTCCTCAAAAATACACGTTATATCCAAGGAAATTTGGGAACTCTTAAATGTTCATACGGCGTTCTTCCTTAGCAGGGCAGTATAGCTTCGCAGTCCCTACAACCTAGTACGAAATGGACCACAATACAAGGTACGAATTAAAGGATTCTGATACATGCTTCTCAACCAAAATTTCACGCAGAATACGATTCGCGCAACGAAAATGACTGAAACCAACTTCTAACGAACATATTAACGTTTTAATCTCACATTGGTTACGAGGAATTTGAACTGCCCGTTCACAAGAAACTCAAAGCTGAGTACGTGAGTTAAATCGCGCACTACAACTGTTTCAGCGATATTCTCAATCGGGCAATGTTCATTTCCCACCATGTGTTGTTCAAACTATAAGCAATTTTCTATAATTGAGCCAAAGCGTCAAGAATTGAGGTTGCCAGATTTTTATATCGCATAGAGACTGTCATGATAAACGTTTAGCGCGCGATGTGAATCACGTAGAGCATCGAGTTTTCATGGGCGGGTGGTTTGAATTCACGCATCAAGAATCATTAAATATCTTCGTGAGGAGTTGATTTTGGTAATTTACGTTATGCCCATCGTGTTTTACGTGAAATTTTGGTTAAGGAGCATGCATCAGAATGCTGAAATTCGTATCTTGTCTAGTGATCCATTGTTAAACCAGCAATATTATTTTTTTCCGCGCAATACCGTAGAATCCAATTTAATAATGATGTCATTATCGTCACCTGTCAAGTAATTTCTGTAAGATGAGGTCCAGGACCACTCCGGCTTGCCCATCCTTCGCAAGTACAGGCAGTCAAGGTGCACTATCGAACCAGAGTAGGCTGTCAGGATTCCGTTGTTCTCCACAAATGCCGACCCCAAAGGCACCTTCACCGATATCGTCGGGGGTGAATCCTCTGAAAACAAACATTTTCCTTCAGTGGCGTGGCGTGTTTTGCGATTCATCGATTGATCTGACATTTAAACCTATGGAAAAGAATCGATGAACAGGGTGCTCGCAACGAATTCCATAATAATCGATTCTTTACCATAGCTTCAAATGGAGAAATATCGGTAATCGACCATTCATGCCTCACCATTTGCGATATATAGCAAATGGGTTGTTTTTAAACGAGGATTAAAAATAAGCAAGTGGTACGGAATATAACAAATGAATATGAAGTATGCAAAACGATTATCCGGGTATCGGAACTTGGCTGTTCTGAAAACGCCTTCAAATGCGGCGTGATACCTTACGCATTCCGGAGAGATCAAATAGTTGTATCATTGCGCCTTAGAGATGTGACGGAAGATCATACAATTGAAATATCCTTCATGCACGCTGGGCTTGTCGATTTCCTTTGACATTTATGCAGTCATGAATGCATAGCTTAAGTGCGCTCCAGCTAGGTTTGTATTATTAATAGATCTACCATTTAAACCGATGGAAGAGAATCGATAAACAAAGTGCGCGCAACGGACTCCTTAATAAACGATTCTTTACCACGACTCCATATGGGAAAATATCGATAACCGATCATTCAGATCGCAATTCTGTTGTCAGGATACTAAAGAATTCACTTTCCAAATTTGACAAACAAATTACACGTAATGGAGACGTGGTAATTTTAGAAAAAAAATAACGCATTGATACTGATATCGGAACTGCACTTGAATGCGATATTTTTCCTCTAAAAAAACAACGCCTTTATTACGTTGAAATTGTTCGTCAAAATTGGTACACGAATTCTTTAGTATCTTGACAACAGAATTGCGATCTCAAAATTCGAGAAAAATGACGATTTGCTTAAATAATGGAACCAATCGATGCGTTATATATCAATTCGTCCTGACACAAAATATAGGGTCCATTGAACCACCTTAACAACACTGAAGGTTATAGGACATTTCGTCAACGATTTTTTTCCGCGCACCTGTTTTTCCCAGTAATTCACGTCCACGCGTTTTTTCGGCACGGGAGTTTTGGTCCACGTTCCAGTTGAGACCCAAAGTTAATTAGCCCACATGTAAATACAAACGACTTACGCTCACGACGTTTTTGGATGAAAATATATAATGTCTTGGAAGAATGAGGGTTTGCTCGTTTTTTTTTGTTTTGTCTTTTTGGTCCAACGGAGAATAATATATAGTTGAGAGTTTTGGTAAAAATGGATGAGCGTCAATTCCATGAGACGAAATTCACTAAAACTCTCTACACCTCTTTGGTGTAACAGGACTTATTTATCTTTCAAGAAATTCCCACCTTGTTATACCTGAATCGGATAAACCTCTAGATCTCTTTGCCTCAGCTAAAGGCCCTTAGATTTTTCTGTTGTGAAATAGTTGCTTCAGGCGCCGCGCTGCCGCACGGTGGGCGGGCGGCCAGCGTGAGATACGCATTGGCGCCTACAAACCTAAATGGATACTTCAAGCATTGCGCAGTGCGTGAAGTATCCACTTAGGTTTGTAGGCGCCAATGGGCAGTGAGCCTCTCGCGCTGGCAGCACGCCGCTCCGCTCTGTTAGGCTTTAATATTTAGCGTTTTTTAACTCATGATTTTGAAATGTTAGCACACTCTGCATTGATTATTCTCATTTAAATTGATGGTAAAAAAATATGTATCAATTTAACAAAGGAGAATAATAATATAATGTGTGTTTTTTTTTTTAAATATTGGTGGTTCCGTGTCAAATTTAATGATTTCCAAAGCACTCAAATTTTTTCTTTTACAATTTGTGCTTTTATTGTGCTGCAGCGAGGTGTGCGCGCAATCAATCGCTCAAAATTTGACGTATTTGACTCTGAAAGATCGATGTACAAATGGGTTAAAACTAAATATTGCGTGCTTCTTGGTTTTTTTCCTCTTTTATTCATTTTTGTAGTTTGTGTCGGCACAACTGCGGCTCATTGAGATTAATGGCGCTTGGAAAAGGTTTTACAAATATTTGTCACGTTTTAAAAATATAAATGTTTTCAAAATGAAGTAATTATTTCGTAAAGAAAAAATAAAAAAAAATAAAAAAAAGTACCTATACATATGTAAGGTATATTGTACATTCAATATTTTAAGGATAGAAATAAAACCAAATATTCATCAATGACAATTTAAAAAGATTATTCAAACGGAGAAAGTAATGTCATTTCATTTAGAAAATGAGCAACCATAACAACACCTCCTTCTCTCTCAATTTCTCATTTCCATATTGTCAATATAATTTTACATACCGACTAAAATATAACGCTTGGACCAAGTTACTGTTGCTTATTTTACGTGTGGGCATAAATTATATATACGAGTCTCTTTTACAGCGCTCTTTGGCGCTTTACGACGCCTAATTGCCACAAAGCTCGGTCTTCCCACTTGTCATCAGGCACAGCTGGTCTTAACGACTTTAAATTTTTTGACGAGTCACAAGCAAAAACTCTTCAGATTCTTGAAGTAGAGTGTCTACTGAGTCATTTAAGCCAAAAAGAAAAAAATTCTGTCGAGCTCCTGGAAAATAAAGTCGATTTAAAGGTATTTTTGGGCTAAAATAGCCAAATTACCCATAGCAAGGCCCGTCATATCATTTAAAAAATTGTTGTCTTCCTGGGTATAATGCCCAAGTTTCTTAAACATGCATATTTTAAGCCTCCGATTACTTAAACTACCAATTTTAACCATATGGTAAATTTTGGGGGCCTGAAATGAGCCCTCAGCGCCAAAAATTGCAAACATTATTGAAAACTTCGGATTTTCAGGGGGGTGTTTTTTTTTAACGTTGTTTTTTCTACAGTCGTCAATGAGTAATTCTGAAGGACATTTTCGATTACATAATTGAAATTTTGACTGTTCAGGTGAAGGGGGAAGGGGGCACCAGGCTTTGCTTTGCCATTCTCTCAGTTTCTGAAAACGCTTGAAAATTCCCTATTACATTGGAAGTCCAAAATATCCCTTTTTATTCATTAATTACTGTATCTGATATTATAAAATATGCAGCAGGAGTTACTGCCCCCCCCCCTCCTCCTCACTACGAGATGCATGGAAACCTTGATCTCACTGCGCGCGCTAACGGATCCTTGCTTTTCGCATCCGGGCATTTGCAGGATAAACTTGTAGCATAAACATGTCCATTTATTTGTAATGCTAAAGACCGCCAAATGTTTTATTGCAAATGCCCGGATCTACTGTACAACGGACTGCCATCACGCGAAAAGCAAGGATCCGTTAGCGCGCGCAGTAAGATGAAGGTTTCCATGCATCTCGTAGTGAGGAGGAGGGGGGGGGCAGTAACTCCTGCTGCATATTTCATAATATCAGAAGCAGTAATTAATGAATAAAAAGGGATATTTTGGACTTCCAATGTATTAGGGAACTTTCAAGCGTTTTCGTAGCGCGCGCAGTGAGATCAAGGTTTCCATGCATCGCGTAGTGAGGAGGAGGGGGGGGGGGCAGTAACTCCTGCTGCATATTTTATAATATCAGATACAGTAATTAATGAATAAAAAGGGATATTTTGGACTTCCAATGTAATAGGGAATTTTCAAGCGTTTTCAGAAACTGTGAGAATGGCAAAGCAAAGCCTGGTGCCCCCTTCCCCCTTCACCTGAACAGTCAAAATTTCAATTATGTAATCGAAAATCTCCTTCAGAATTACTCATTGACGAATGTAGAAAAAACAACGTTAAAAAAAAAAACACCCCCCTGAAAATCCGAAGTTTTCAATAATGTTTGCAATTTTTGGCTCTGAGGGCTCATTTCAGGCCCCCAAAATTTACCATATGGTTAAAATTGGTAGTTTAAGTAATCGGAGGCTTAAAATATGCATGTTTAAGAAACTTGGGCATTATACCCAGGAAGAAAACAATTTTTTAAATAATATGACGGGCCTTGCTATGGGTAATTTGGCTATTGTAGCCCAAAAATACCTTTAAATCGACTTTATTTTCCAGGAGCTCGACAGAATTTTTTTCTTTTTGACTTAAATGACTCAGTAGACACTCTACTTCAAGAATCTGAAGAGTTTTTGCTTGTGACTCGTCAAAAAATTTAAAGTCGTTAAGACTAGCTGTGCAGGGAGTTGACACTCCCTCATCTCATTTAACACCCCCCTGTCGCCAACCTCTCACTGGGCGTCCCCTACGTCTCCTCCCAGGAGGAACCCAATCAAGCATCTTTTTTGGCAGCTTCTCTTCCGTCATCCTATTGACATGACCGTACCAGACAAGTTGTTTGGTCATGACGTCGAACACGATGTCATTTTCGACTTCCATTATCTGACGCACTCTATCATTACTAAACTACGTAACTACCGGGCGTAAACTACTGGACAAAAAAGGTGCGCGGACAAAAGATCGTTGACAAAATGCCCTGAAACCACACTGAATGGTTTTGAATCTTCACTCATCGTCCTCAGCACAATAACGATCTTCTGCTGCCCCGTAGAGCAGGAGTGTATTGTTGCTCCTCCAGCTGGCCGCATGTCAAATTCGAGGAAAAAGGTTGATTGAAGTACCAAGAGAAAATACTTTAGATTTGGAATGGTGGCAAAAACTTTTCATACCTGTGTAATTCGTAATACTAGTTGTGGGTATGCACGCTGGGAACTTGTGACTCCACACGCCATCTTCGCATACATTTATTGACTCCCCTAATAATTTGTACAGACCAAGAGGATCTTGGCATCGCAAGTTGAGCACGCTCTTGTGCGCGAACGAACCGTTGAAGGACTGGAACAAATGAAAGATACACACATTCATCAGAGAAGGGTGACTTTGGCGGTCCAAAAAATCCTGAATAATTAATATTGATTCATGGACAATGATAAGTTTACAAGTTCGCATCGCTGCGGGAGGTACCGACATGACTGGTTGGCCACAGCATTAATCCATATACTAAAACCGAAAGAAGTTTTTATTCAATTTTTTCTCAGAAAATTTAGAAGTTATGATAACAGGAATTATACACGTACGATAAATGTTGAGGAAGTGAATACGGCGGAATGGTACCGTCGCATAAGACGTTATTCGATGATACGGTGCCGTGAATAAAACGTTATTCGACGGCACAGGGCCCTCACTTGAAAATCTTCTAAGCATCGCTAAGGCGCCTTTACCGGGTAACTTTTTAACCGCTAACCCGAAAACTTCCTACCGCTAAGGTGCCTTTACCGTTGTACATGTAAACATGTTAAAGATTAACATTACATATGAAAGAGTAGCTTTTACTTGACTCTTTGGCGTTCTTCGACGCCTAACGTCACGGAAAAAAAGTTTTAGGGGTTATCCCCTAAAATTGTGGTACCACCCCAATTTGTTGGATGATACGGGCATTTCCGCTTCATTATTGTGGTAGTACTGCAAATTTTTGGTTAGTTACCTCTTTTATTGGCCTGAAAGATGGCGGATTATCCAACGTGCGTTACAAATCAGCATATAGCTGATTTATGCTGATTTGTAAAGTTCGTTATTTGAACGACTCGTTCGTCCATCGTAATCAGTTTGCAATTTATCGGGGTGCTACCACAATTAATTGGGGGCACCAGTAATTGGTCTTGCCCAATTAATTTGCAAACAGGGCTACCGAGCCTTACGGCGTTCTGTTTTTTTCCTTTTCTTTTTCCTTTTCTTTTGGCCGACGAGTTTATTTTTCCGAATGAAAAATACGGGAATGCACGCAAAGAGGAATGATGTGATGATTCTCGACGTCAATGTGAAAGTGAGTGCAAAAAAAGGCGCTGATGAGGAGCCCCAACGTGGCGCGAATGATCGATCATCGATTTTCCCCCGTTTGAAGCTGTGGTAAAGAATCGATTATTTAGGCGCTTTTTGCAAACTCCCTGTGTAGTGTTTATCGATCCTTTTTTGTAGGATTAAATGTGAGATCAATCGATTCATCTCAAAGCACGCCACGCCACTGAATGATAGCGCTCCTAGTTTTTTCACAGCCCACTGAAGCATCAAATCGAGCGAGTCAAATGTACATTAACGTGTTCGCCGGAGACAAAAAAAAGTACACTGCCATGAAATTGCGAGGTTAAAAGCTGAGGCTCTGTTTAAGAAAAAAATACGCAGGTAAATGCACAATACCTTGATGTTGCGTGTATGAGCACCGTAGCCCTACTGTAAAGGTCGTGATGTCCGGTAATCCAGGATTGCGCGAGTGATCTAAGAAAATATCTGATGATTGCGCGAATTATGCTCACGGATTTTGCGAATAGAAACCTTGTTATCTGCTGCAGAAAGTGCGAATTTAAAATGAAAATAATTTAGGGTAGAAGTTTGGAAAAACAGACAACAGTCGGGAAATAAACGCATTTTTATTTTAACGCTAGTATAGGTTGGTTTGTTGATAAGTCATCGATATCTCTCCCTCTGATGATAAATGAAGTGATTTGATGGAATAATAGTCGTGAGTATAAAAAACTTCCCTAATTTTTCTTGAAAAACATATTGAATCGGAAAAAAGGAGGCGATGTTGGAATGCTCATACGGCTTCGAAACACAACATGCGCCTTTTAAGCTCTATTACTTGATGCCGCGATTATTCTATAAATGCGAGTTCGAATAATCGCGCCAAACACAATGCGGCCAGCGTTAAATTAGCACCTGCAAGACTTTAGGAATACTTAATGCATTGCGCCAAAAAGCGGAGTCGGCGTATAGCCCATATTAGCGCCTACAAGACAATATGAATACTTCTCGCATTGCGCCGAGCGCTGTGCAATCGATTAGTTGGTGTGAAACGCATATTAACGCCTACGAGACTGTAAGACTGCGTGTCATCATCCTTAACTTTCTGCTCCAATTATCACCATAATTAAAGGGAAAACATGTATCTTCATCGCAACAATTCAGAAACACCGATAATCTACTTAGCTAATCTACAAGAATCAAGAATCAAGAATCAAAACACGATTCTGTGACCAGCGCAACCGGCCCATTCTGGGCCGAAAGGTTACGGCTGACCGTCTTCATATATTTGACGTCTCATGAGTGGATCCCAAACAACTGATCTACAGCTCATCACACAACACATTTGAACCTAAAATGAAGTCTGGTGTGGAATATAGGAAAACCCGAATTTTCGTGGATTTTGGCCTCGGGACCAACTTCGGGACTGTGTGTTGAAGCCAATACGGATGAGAATCTTGTAATAAGTAGTATAAAATAAAGTAATTCGTTTATTTCACTTTATTCTATCGTGTGAAAACGACATGGTCGTTACAGAAAATCGAAGTTTTCACATACATTACATTTCTAACACCTTTCACGCAAACTAATTTATAATGGACCACTAGACAGGGTACGAATTTAAGCATTCTCATACATGTTTCTTGACCAAAATTTCACGCAGACCACGATTCGCGCAACAAAAGTTACTGAAACCAACTCTTAGCGAAGATACCAACCTTTTTATTTCACGTTGGTTACGAGGAATTTGAACCGCCCGCTCACGCAAGAAACTCAAAGCTCTACGTGAGTCAAATCGCGCACTACAACGGTTTCAGCAAGCTTCTCAATCGAGCAGTGTTCATTTCCCACCATGTGTTGTTCAAACTATAAGCAATTTGCTATAGCTGAGCCAAAGCGTCAAGACTGAGGTCGCCAGATTTTTATATCGCTGAGACGTTCATGATAACGTTTAGCGCGCGATGTGAATCACGTAGAGCATTGAGTTTTCATGAGCGGGTGGTTTGAATTCACGCATCAAGAATCATTAAATATCTTCGTAAGGAGTTAATTTCGGTAATTTTCGTTGTGCGTATAATGTTCTACGTGAAATTTTGGTTTAGAGACATGTATCAGAATGCTGAAATTCGTACCTTGTCTAGTGGTCCATTCTCTGCGTTGAAGTTAAGATTAAGTTTATGAGTAGCACGCTGAAGATTTTTTTCTAAATGACGTCAAATGACTTCTCGGTTTCTTTTTTGTCCGTAAAACGAACGATTCTCGCTAACCATGAGTATTTTTTAGATCCGAGGTTTAAGCGCGGTAAAATTTTGATCCTCTGAAAATCATGAAAGGAGAATAATGGTTCTTTATTTTTCTACGTTTTTTAACTTCTCAGTTGTGACAGAGATAAAAAAAAATTTAACGTAGGCTTCTTTTATAACCTCCATTTATTTTTTCTGTATCACTTTCTCCACTGATGTGGCACCTGTACCCTCTTCAGAACCTAAGCTAAAAGATTTCTGAAGACGCACCCCAATATTAGTTACCAGGGCTTTATTGTTGCTCTTTTGATTCACTTTTTTTTGACAAGTCACGCGGGCACCGTTTCCCCCATTTAAAGTATTTTTGTTATTTTCTTCAAACAGATTGGCTGTTAGATCACGAGATCATATTTTTCACTCTCTGAAAGTTTTTTTTTTTTTTTTTTTTTTTTTTTTTTTTTTTTTTTCGGTGGCACTCCGGGTAGTCTCCATAAATGGTAGCAACATTGATTGAGTTACGGCTCTGGTATCTTTCCAATTTCGGAAAAATTCCTTCGCACCTGATAATAATTTGATTTTTTTCCACGATGAAAGTTAAATTTGCGTTTGTCCTGCACGTCATACGATAACCCCTCGTTTTTTATAATGTATCTTCGTTCTAAGATGTAAGAAATTTGGCGTTACATGGACTAAATCACGATATTTTCATGCAAAGGAATTGCGAAAAGATTATGGTAGGCAAGGTCTATTTTTCTCTCGTGATGGGATTTCATTCATGAATCTCTTTAGCAAAATTTTATTGTGACGGATAACTATGTTCCCGTAATGTTTGTTAAAGTTGTAATGTTTGTTACAGTTGTAATGTTTGTACTACTGTTAAACTGTCGCTAGGTCCAAGGAGCCCTGGATTCAAGCATAACTTCATCATTGTCATCAAGATTTGGTCCTGTACTTCAATTATTTACTCAGTCCTTTTGAGAAAGTAATTCACACTAACATCCTTAAAATGTCAATAAATATTTGGAAAGTCTCAAAATTAGAATTAATTAATAAAATACCCGGGTATTCACTGGACCGAAAATCCATATCGTACCTCGTGCATCGGTTAGTTTACCATGATGTTTATCCGAAGGTCAATCGGAAATCCTCGCCGATTTCAGCCAGATTTTCACCATGCATTCAAAGTGTGATTTTCAATTTTATTTCAGTACTTTTTCATTTCTTCCACTCCTCATAAGAGAATCAGTAAGTTCGAAAACACACCAACTCGGAAAAAAAATTGTTCAGGAAATACTTAAAACTACGCAGCGGGCGAAGAAGTTAGTTTATGAAAAACCTTTTTGGTGTCAAAGGACAAGTACTTAGAGACTTTGCAAAGCACCAAGTTTAAATCGATACACCATGTTTGGTGACAGAAAATTAAGCGTTTAAAAATTTCCGAGTTGGTGTGTTTTCGTTCTCACCGACTTTCAGATACTGATTTTTAATAGTCTGCCCAGAAAATTTCATATTTTTCGACCTGAATAACGCTTGAATATTTACATAACTTGTTGGTACAAGGTATACTGAACCGGAAAAAGAAAACCGCAAGATCGAATGGTCACCCGGTTCCCTTGAAGTGGCCAAAAATTGGTATTTCCAATGAAATACTTCGATTCTTCTCTTTTCCCGTCGCTGTTTCGAGCACTTCCAATCGCAATTTCGAAATTTCCTTTTGCGTGCAGATGCTTCTGTCCATAAGTGTTACTAAACCGTAAAAAAGTGAAAATCGAAAAAAACCCGAGTTGGTATGTGTTTTCGAACTTACTAATTCAAGTCTTCTTACAGCTTATTGTTGCGCTCGTGGAGTAAATTCCGAGCTAATGCATTTCAATCGCAGCGCTTAAAAATGTACATACCTACTCTTCTTTGCAAGGGAACATAAACTGACTTTAACCGTGCTCGTCATTTCTACCGTAAAAACTTGACGCAGAGAGATCACCGGAACCGTTGATTTTGATTGATTTTTTTTCGCTAACCAATCTGTTGCTGCACCTAAATCAACTCACAGTCGTCATCAACAGGGACGTTCCATCGAAATCGCTTTGGAACGAACACATCTCCGTGCAATTCTGCAAAAAATACCCCGAAGTCATTAGGGAGATCGACCCTCTCTACTGAAAAAAAAAAAAAAAAAAAAAA